AGGGATTTTTGGGCAATTGAGTTCAGTGAATCAAGCTGGGTTCGATGGAACCTATTTGCTGGGTTCTGTCGAACTTCAATCTTGAAAATGAAAAGAACATTGTTTATGAAAAGAATAGAAACAGTAACTGATGGGTAAAGAAGCAATTCTTAGTAGTGATGTGGGACCCATTTGAATGGATTTAGCGCGTTTTCATGAGGGTAACATATGACATAGCAAAAGTTTTATGCATATCATCACTTTTTTAAGTTTTGTTCTCTACATCATAAAAAAAAATATAAAAAATACCACATAAGCAGGGTTAACGGCTCAAATTAACAGAATGACTAACGGAGTGCATTTCGAATAGTTGAGGGATCAAAAAAATGCAAAAAATTGTTGAGGGACCAAAAATGTGCATTTCATAAAGTTAAGGGACCAAATTAAGTATTTAACCAAGTGGTAAATGAATGGGGGAAGGTTGGCTTTCTCACTCAACACTCCAAAACAGCCTGAAGCTGTTAGATCATTAGATGCAAGGAAAAACTGGGATGTGCTTTTTGAGAAAAGGGGGAAAAAAATTATTCCGAAAAGAAAAGAAAAATTTTTATCCAAACAATTTAAATAAAAATAAAAATAAGAGATTTATTTATCCAAAAAAAATATTTTATAAAAAATTTAAAATGAAAATAAATTAAATAATATAATCTCTCCTAATCCTTCCAAATCAAAAAGATTGAAAAATGAAAAAGAGGAAAAACTCTATCTCCCTTCGTCTCTCTTCCCTCTTTTAAAAGTTTTTATCGGAACAAAAAAAAGAGCTTTCACTCCTTTCTTCTCTTCTACTCCTCTTTTAACTTTTTCAATCCAAATAAAATATACCGTTAAAAAAATTAAAAAAAAAAAAGAAGTAAATGACCGAGGGAAGGTTACCTTTCTCACTCAACACTCCAAAACAGCCTGAAGGTGTTAGATCATTAGATGGAAGGAAAAACTGGGATGTGCCTTTTGAAAAAAGGGGAAAAAAATTATTCCGGAAAGAAAAGAGAAATTTTTTATCTTAGGAACCTGTTTTAGGCTGTCCTTTCGCCCACTTTTCCATGATTGTTTCACAACTGAAATGATGAGTGGTATTACTATCACAACAACTGCAAGAAAGGAGAATCTCACAAAACATTTCCACATTTGTAAGGACACCATATTTTCATAAAGAAAGCAGTGGGTAGGGTAGGGGAGACTTCTTTTCACACTAATAATAAAAGTATAAAACTTCCCCACCACGACTCAACTCTGTCTGCCTCCTTTCATTCTAAACATTCAGTCTTTTATCTCTTGAATATTAAGCTTCACTAATGGAAAAGGAATTTATGCCTTGTTTTCTAAATTCCTCAACTTTTAATTTAATATATATATAAATTTTTAATAACTAAGGCATTTCATCATTTTAAAATTTAAATATAAAACTTTTAATTCAATTTCTCTAAATTTTTAACAATTAAAACATCCTTACGTAATACTTGTATTGCTTGAACTCTGAACTTTGAAACTTGAAGTAATTTCTTTGCCGGAAAAAACTCCTTTCTTTTAGAAAAAGTAGAGTTAGCTAGTTGTGCATTCAAACTGCAAAATACAGCGGTTTCAATAATTACCCTGCGATTCATATCATGTGGACAGAAAAAGAAATACTGGTACAGGAAATGTCATAATGAAATACAAAGATCTGACTCTAATTTATGGTCATGGAGACAAAAACAAAAGCTCAAAGAAGCATCATTTTCTTTTCCCTCTACAAGAAGAAGAATCTGCCCTTTGGATTGGAAGATCATGCTTTTCTTTGAAGCTAATGACTCTTCTATAGTCTTTTTGGTTCTCATCTTTACATGATAATTTTGCTTTTCTTCAAAGGAAGAATTATATTCCCTTTTCCCTTGAGGATTCCCTTTCTGGGTTTCCTTTGAAAATGTTCCCTACTCCCTGAGTTAATACCATTGATGCTGCTACAACTTCCATAGGAACAAGAAGCTGAAAAACATAAGCATGTTAAAATACAAAATGAAGGCAGAGGATGAAACTTGAGTTGATGATATGATGCCACTTTAATTCACTTCACTTTAACCAGGGCTGCAAATGTCATATATTTCTTTTTCTCTACCTATGACTGCACATGTCCAAGAGCTTTTTCCTTCCTTCAACTATTTCATCAAAGAAATCATCAATCTGTCCAATTATAGTCTCTACCCCACATCTCAACAACCCAAAGCAACTCTTGATATTGTCAACTTTTTCTTGAATCTCAACTTCTGATTCATACTCCACAACTCTCTCAAGCTCCAATTTCAGTTCTTCCATGGCAGCTCTGGCTTCTCTGAACTCATAAAGCATAATCCCTGGCTGCCCTCCAATTTGGTTCACTTCATTCTCCACTCTTTGATGCAATCTTGCTATCCAAACCATGAATCCTGACCCAAACCTCATATGTCTTCCTTCTAGCTCTCCATGGACAAAACTCATTTCAGGGCAATAATATACCAATCCAGTAAGCAGGATCATCAGAAGTAAAGAGGTAACATTCCTCATTGCATAAAGAACACCTCTAAATCCATTGAAACCATTTAACTTTGATTCCACCATAACATTCTCATCAAATTTCAGAGATAGTTGCTGTCCTCTTGTTTCCACCAAATTTTTGTTCTCCTCTTCCAACCCCACAATTTCCCTTTGGCAAGCAGAGATTGCCCTTTTGACCTACACCAAAAATTAATCTTTTAAAACAAAATCAATTGTAGAAACTAAGAAAAACAAGAAAACCCTTTATATCTTTTTAAGGTTTTTAAGAGTTGACTTGGAATTTGGTACTGACCTGTCTGGAAAACTGAGGGTTAAAATGGTGGTGATGATCGACAGAGGAAGCTATATTTCCACCCAAAGTATAATAACTTTCCATCCCAGAGATGCCTTGTTTGAGCACATGACAGGCTTCCCAAAGCCTAGAGCTTTCATCCATGTATTCATCAAGCCACTTCTCTCCAACCGGAAGTTGAAGCTTTTGGACCAAAACGGTCAAATGGGAATGAAAAGATCTGAGAGAAGAGAGGGCTTTTTGAAGGAATTGGATTGACATGAAGTTATGGGAAATGAAGGAGCAATCAAGATCTTCAAGCCCTCGAGTGAGCAAGTTGTAGAAACCATTGACAGAAGTAGCAGTGCATGAAGGATCCATGATGGATGGAAGAAGAGAAAAAGGGTGGAAGTAAGATGTTTGTATGGAAGAAAAAAGGTGATTGAGATTGATGGGTATTTATATTGGAACAGGGGAAGAAGAAAAAAGTGAAGGAGAAGTAAGAAGAATTAAGCTTAACAGCTCAGGTTTCCATGGAGAAAGAGACTGTTGGATGCAATTATGGGTGTTCCCTACAGAGTGGAGATGATGATTGGGAATCTATAGCCTTCATCTCTATACCAAGAAAAATCAAAACAAAAGCAGAGGAAAAAGTAAGAGAGGAGAAAACATGAGAACTTGATGAGTTTTCTTTATATAGTTTTCGCTTGTTTTTTTCAAAAGAGGAGTCAGTGGGATTGTGTTTTTCAAATACATGAACAGGAATGAAAGTAAATGAAAACAATTCTTTTCTCTTTATTCTATGACAGTAGTAGTAGAATTGTTCAGATTATGCTCTTTTTTGGGGTGTAAAAGTTTGACTAATTTGACTGAGATTCTGGTACTCATTCTTCCATTTTCATTTTGGTTCTTTCTTTTTTAAATTGCGTATCCTTATCCCCCCTCCCCCTCCTCTTTCGCTTTTACCTTTCCGGCTTTCCCCCAACTTCCAGCACATTGTTTCATCTTCTAAATTGAGCCTTTTTGGGACCTAGAGTTCGGTATTCCTTTATATATAATTGGTTTTTTAATGTTCGGCTGCCTACTTAAACAAGAAATGGTTGGTGGGGTTTTGTGTAATAATATTAATTTATGTTTAGCATTAGTACAATTCACCATGTAGATTCTTTTCTTTTTTTTTTCAAGAACCAAATATTTTTCTTTCTATAACTTGTACTTGTAAATCACTCTTGTAAAGTTTATATCTTCCTCCTCAATAATGACGGTTTAAACCGATCTCATGACTAAATATTTATATATATATATTTCTCCTTCCAAAACAAATATAAATATCAACCAATATTCCAATATTCCATTTTAAGGATAATTTCAAAGCAGAGAACTTTTATTAATTTTTTCGCAAAACCTTAGGAGGCAGCAGTACCATATTCAAATGTGGCTATGCCACTACTTACCACTTACAAATGTGGCAATAATCCCACCTTCACAAAAAGGAGTTAATATACAAGGATCAAATCAGAAGTCATAATAAATCTGGATTTGGTCCATAATAAAATCTTGAAATATATTTTTCATCTCATAACCAAATCCTATCCAAAACCTATGAATGCCAATTCCAGGTCATAATTGTCATAGGCTAAGAGACCAGTTGTGCCAGCATGTGTATCAGGTACAATTACAATTCCAATTGAATAGAGTTTTGAATATTTTTTGGAAAAGAAGAAAGAAAGACAATAATATGCATCCTGGCATCCTACACGTACAACTTCAGAACAATACAAAAAGATTATGGTTCATCTGAACGGCTCAACATGATCCAACTTTAACATGAAGGGAAACGATTCACGATGAATTGAATCTGAGAAAAATAAGTGCCCCAATTTTCTAATATCTCGTCTGATTAGGAAAAGAGATGCAATATTCATGAAATATCAGTATTCAACAAGTGCTGATAAGTATACAGTGGATCCACCTATCTTAGATCTAGAAGTTGTTGGTTCACTGTACTAACTACTAAGCAATAATGAAAAGAATTCAGGGGTTCACTTTTTACAATGAAATCAATTTGCAAATACCGCATTTTAAATGCCAAAATTGTTGCAATCAATCCATGCTACCTTATTTTCACAGGAATGCCGCACCCAATTTTGACAAAAGCTGTGGTTTACTGGAAAAACATTATTTCTACCTCCTTGAAATCACGAGTCATGACACTGCTGAAATGCGTAGTGATCCTCAGAGGTTTGCAACTGCTATGAGTAAGAATGCGGCAGCCCATCCAGAAGCAGAGATAAACAGGAATCAGAATGACCATCACCAGATTCACTAAGCTTAGCAGTTAGTAAGTGTGGCATTGATCGGTGGATGGTAATCCTTCACACAAGGGATCTTGAATACCATTCAAATATCAAAGCCCGGCATTGCAAACTGAGATGCAAAGGTTTCAACTTGGGTTCGGAGCTCCAAAATATCCTTATTGTTCTGTAGAACTTTCAACTGCAATTTCCCATGCTCCCGCACCATGTTTGTGATTTGTACTGCTCTGAGGAGAAAATCAGCAACTGTCTCAAAATCAGACTCTAGGCAACCTCTTGATGTCATAGCAGGAGTACCTGTGGTAATTCAATGCAAGTCATCATAATAGCCCAAATATTCTCCACCTAAGGTAAGAGAGTAGTTTTTGAAATTTTGAAATCGAATAAGAATTTTGCTTTACCAATTCGTACTCCTCCAGGACAAATGGTGCCATTTTCACCATAAATAGTGATTTTATTCAAAGTAATATGACACATCTCACAGACTTTCTCATATATTTTACCTGTGAAAACATAGAAAAAACAAGAAGATTAGATATGCTTTTGTGTAAAATAGCAAACATCAATAATACAAAAAATGAAGATTTTTTTTCTTTTTGGTACGGACATAATGAATGGAGTTTAAGAGAGAAAAGATAAAACTAGAGGTAAGAACAAACAGATCATGTTGCAGACAAACAGAAAAACACATGAGAAAGAAACACTACATGTTTGGATAACTTGAAAACCCAGAAAATCATGCAATTTTTAACGTGTATTCAATGTCTGGAAATGATGCTTTCTGTCCGTTGCTATATCTTACTGATCACCAAATAGAAATAGCTTTCTCACATAAAACTAAAATTGAGAAAATCTCATAATTTATGTTATCTCTAATGTATAAATTCCCTCTTTTGAAGACCATCAAAATCTTCTCTCACAGGAAAAACTCTGTTACAAGATTGAGAATAGTTACCATAAAAAGGGGGGAAAAAAAGAAGATAAACAATCCTTGGATCAAGTACCTCTTTTTTATGAGGGGTCAAGTCCCAATTAATGGAGGATGAAAACAAAAGTACAGTTCATAATTTGCCAGCAACAAGGATACCTGTTAATCTGAGGGGCCTTAGATCCCAGAGTAACAAATGGTTGTCTGTACCTCCAGTCACTAGCCTACAATTTCTTCTTAACAATGCAGATGCTAACGCCTGAGCATTTTTCTTCACCTGATGCATGTATGCCTTGTACTCTGGTGTAGCCACTTGTTTTAATGCTATGGCAAGAGCAGCAATGTGGTTATTGTGTGGTCCACCCTGTAATGAAGGAAAAACAGCAAAATTTATCTTTTCCTCAAAATCATATTGATCATTGTCATCTCCTTGATTAGAAAGCATTCCTCTCTTCTTTGGCTTTGTACCCCTCCTATAGAAAATTATACCTCCCCTAGGACCTCGGAGACTTTTATGAGTGGTTGAGGTTACAATGTCACAGTAGTCAAAAGGGTTGGCACATTCCTGCAAGAAAATCAACAGGACATATTATAGGTAAACTCTATTGTAATATTTTTACAACAAAGACACCGCTGCAGCAAATACTCAATAAACAAATGACAACTGGCACAGCCCACATGCCATTTAAGCTTCTGATGATAGGCAATCACTTGATTTATGGCCATTCATGATGCCTGATAATTTAGATTTTAGGTGCATCAGGATCCATGTTTAATCATATTTACAATACTGTTTGGTAAAAGGTAGGATATTCTTTTCAAATGAGTGAATATTTTTAACTCCCACAATTTAACAACCAACTTCTAACTTCCAAGTCTCAAAGAGGAGGAGAAAAAAAATCAATTCATTCCCAAGATCCTTGAGAATGAAGGGCAAAACCTAGCTATTTAACAACAGAAAATCCACCAACGAGGGGTTGGATCAAGTGGTAAGCGGCTTGTTCCAGCTTAAGCAAGGTCTCGAGTTCGTGACCTTGTGTACGCAGCGGCCTCCGTTGGGAGACTCACCCACCATTTCCAGGTGCGCGACGCGAGTCGGTCCGGATTAGTTGGGGCGAAGTCCCGGATACCGGGCAGGAAACCAAAAAAAAAAAAACAACAGAAAATCCAGTTTTGAACCATTTGACAAATCCTAGCAAATTTTTACAGTGCTATATTGCAGCCCCAGTCAGTCTATTACTGAACTGATGCCAAACAACAGAAGATTCTTTTCCAAATCTTCAAGATACAAGATAATTACCAATGCCTATCAAACACTAGTCCCTGGGCTGATGAAACAGTTAGCAGCAAAGAGCACATTCTTGTCATTAGTGAACCAAAGACAAAAGTTATGAAGGAAATCCATAAAAGAAAAGGTCATGATATTTTTAGTAACATTATTTTAAAGGAACTTGGTATCTTTCAAATACAAATAGCTTGCAGAAATGAACGTACAAGAAATTTTTGAAACAAACATTCTACTACATAATCCAAACAAACCAAAATTTTTTTATCAGAAATAATGTTGAACTCTTTCAAGGATGCAAACTCTAAAAGAAAAACATTCTAAAGCTACTTATATCAATTTCATCACCTACGGTTGCACATGTCCCATGATAGCAGATATCATTGCCAAATACATTACCACACATAAACAAAGTAACAAACATGAAAGACATAGAAGATCCATACCTTAGCAGCAATCAGTCCACTTATCTGAGCCATATCACATAAAAGCACAGCACAACACTTATCTGCAATCTGCCTAAACCTCGCATAATCCCATTCCCTTGGGTATGAACTTCCACCACAAATCAAAATCTTGGGCCTAAAATCAAGCGCCCTCTCCTCCAGCTTATCATAATCAATACACCCAGTTTGTGGATTCACCTTATATGGAAAACTCTCAAAGAAAATTGATGCACAAGACACTTTCCTCCCATTTGGGGTGTAACAGCCGTGACTTGTATTACCTCCAGATGGTGTATCCAGCCCCATGATCCTATCACCTGGCAACAACAACCCTGTGAACACTGCAAAATTTGCAGAAGTACAGGAATACGGCTGCACATTCACTCCCCAGCTCTCTGCATCAAGCCCAAAAACTTCCAATGCCCGTTTCCAGCAAAGGGTTTCTATCTCATCTATAAATTGATTGCCACCATAGTAACGCGCCCCCGGCATCCCCTCTGAATACTTATTGGTCAAGTGGCTTCCAAGGGCCTCCATGACCGCACGGCAGACAAAATTCTCAGAGGCTATCAACTCAATTCCCATGAACTGACGCCTCTTCTCCTGCTCCATTATCCCAAACAAATCAGGATCAGCCACACACAGCGGCTGGTTACCCCACGATCGGACTGCAGCCTTCCTCCCCTCAAGACCAGGTTCAACCGCCATCCGCTTAGACGACGACGACGACGACAAAGAATCATTGTCCTTCCGCCTCTTCAGACACATGGAATGCCCTAAGATACGAAATTCCTCAACCTCCCTCCCTTCATCATCATCATCATCATCACTTCCACTCTCTTTCCCCGTTTCTCCCGACAGGTTCCTGTTGTGATTCTCCGTATGCGGCTCCAGAAGCTGAAGGGGAAATGGCGGGACTGGGTGAGATGGGTCGCGGAGGCTAGAGTCTAGTTGGAGGGAAATGGAGTCATCGGCGATTTGGGTTCGGCGGGAGGGTACTGTAGGAGAAGGCAACCCCAGTGAGAGATTGGATTGTGGGTTCGTTGAGGTTGACGATAAACCCATCGATGAATACCTAATCTATACACACAAACAGGAACAACAACAAAAACAGAAAGAATCGATCTTGAAGAAGGTATAGTAACAGTACTCGACCATGGATTGAAATCAGGAAAATCAAACCCTAACCCAATAATAAGCAGAAAAAATGGAGAAGAGGGTCTACGGGGACCGGTAGATTCGTGGAGGATGCACCTGGACCAGGACAAGGGAATGGAAGCCCTTTTTATGCTATCTCTTTCAATTTCATTTTATTATATACTGTTAAATAAAAAAATAATAGTGAACATTTTCTTTTCCCGGAATTTCAACCAAGTGCAGGCAGAAGCAGGAGGATTGTATCCCGTGAAGAAGAAAAGTACAAATTGAAGAATGCATGAAAGTTGCTTGGTTTCCAATTCCAGCTTTGTCATAAATAAAATTATAAGATGTTTAGGAAAATCTCTCCTTGTTAGCTTGCTTATGTATGGGCTTAGGTTAAGAGATTGGTAGGACTAAACTAAAATATTAGTAAATTATGCAAATCACCAATGCCTTATGGGTGAAAGTAACTTGATTTTTTTAAATATAATTTTAATTTTGAATTTTGTAAATAAAAAAATAAGTATTGAAATAATTTATTTTTACAAAATTTGCCATTATTCCATTTTAAATTAATAAAAACTAATGCCATTACTAGAAATTAAAAGGTTAATAAAAAAAAAAACAAATCATTTCCTCAACTCCACTTTACGTTGACAATAGCCCTCTAAATTTTTTCCACTAGCAAATAATCCCCTCTAATTGTCAAACTAGACAAATTGGCCCTCATTTTATGATTAATGTCGTTCGACATATATTAATATGTCACATGTTTATTTGATCTTCTTGATTATTATTGCCTTTGTCTACCCCATTATTGCTATTATTATTTAACCTCAACATAGTAATGATTAAGAAGATATGATAGATTGATAAAATCAAATAATATCATTCGTGAAATAAAAGTTAATAACATTTAGTTTTCTTCATTATTATCATCTTGATTTGTCCCATTAGATTTTTTTTTTTTTTCCTAACATGGAGGATGTAACAATCAAGAAGACCAAATAAACAAGTGACGAATTGATAAAGTCAAATGAAGTGTCATCCATTAAATATGGGCCAATTTGTCTAGATTGGCAACTAAAGGGAGTTATTTGCTAGTATAAAAAGTTGAAGAAGTGATTGTTAACTTGAAATAGAGTAGAGGGGTTGTTTTTGCATAATTTATCATTAATATTTTATTAAGGAAGTTATGCAAGATGGTTATCTCGGAAATTAGCTCAAGGGATCCACCTTGACTAATGGTTAGTTTTGTGTAGCGGCCCTCACCAAAAAAAAAAAAAAAACGCAGCTTTTTTAGACTAATAATTATAGGAGTTGGAAATTAGCTGTTTGATCTTGTTATTGGGCCTGGGTCGTCCAGCCTTCTTGAATTGATCTCGTTAGTGGTCCTGGGTCGTCTAGTCTAGTCTTCTTGAATTGAACCAAATCCAGAGATCATGGCTGTTAGGGGAGCCTTTTTTTTTTTTTTTTGGTATAGGTTGAGTATGTTACATATTTGATACTTGATTTAAAATTTTTTGGTGTAGTTTTTTAAATACCTAAATGTTTAAAAATTTATATTTGATATTTAACTCAATAGATACCAAGTATTTTGT